GTGGCAGAGTTATCAGCAGAACCCAGATTTGTCTGGTCCTCATCACCACTGTTCTTGCTGCATGCATCCTGCTCTTAGCTATTGCAATTAAGCCGAGTAAGCTCAGTTATTTAAAGTTATTTAAAAACAATTATTTTAAAACTGAAGTTCAAGCTATGAATTAACGTTAAAAAAAAGGAACATCTTAAGTTTCTCTGGAAAGGGCCAGACACAGCTGTTTCAACTTCATTTTAGTTCTAGACATGGGCTTCGCATTCAAACGGACCTAATTCAGAGCCCACTCTGCCATACTTTATTAGCTGACTGACTTCGAGGAAACTATTTAACCTTTATGAGTCTCAGTTTATATATTTGTAAACTGAGGACAAACCTAGCTCAGGAGGGAGTTGGACAATAAGCTTAGAATGTATTAAAGCACATGGCCTTCTGTCTTGCCTATAGTAGGCATTCAATGAAATAGCAATTATTAATTGCAAAGATTTGTTTTCCATAAGGTAGATCATAAATGTAGCTTCTCACCCACTTATTCTGACAAGGGTTCTTACTGTGTAACCCCAGAGCTGTAACTGGAGAATTTTGTCAATTGATTAGATTAACATCAGATTATTTCAAAGGAAGTTCAACATTAATTCTCCCTAGTATGTATTGAGTAGAATCAGAGAAGCCTTTTAATGCTCCTCCTGCAGGATTTCTAAAGCTATTTTTGTCAGGAAGTTCTTTTAAAAGCTTCATTTTGTTAATTAAAGATAAGTTCTTTTAGGAAGGGAAGGTGGAGGAAAAGAAGAAATCTTGCAGGAATGTATCATGGCCTGAAAATTAAAAATCTGTAGCCTTTGTCTAGTAATGACCTTAAACTCAGAGCCCTGCTTTGCTGATGTCATTTCTTTCCAAATAGCAGTTTTGTAGTAGTCTAGGCATTATTCTGAGAATAGGGTCATGGTAAATTAAAAAGATTAATAAGACACAAGTCTCTTACTTCAAGGTTCTTATAACTTAGTGCCCATAAATAATTCTAAGCCCAGGCATTATCTGGTGCCAAAGACAGATGATTAATCCTGACTAAGGGGGTCTGAGAAAATTTACCAAAGGTGAGGGTATTTATTTGAACAAATAGACAAACCAACTATAAAAGACCTGTGGGGGGCAATTAGGGAAGCAAATACAGACCACATATGAAATAACATTAGACTTTTGTCAATTTTGTTAGGTGTGATGTGATAGTGGTATTATGAATTATTTAAAAAAAACACTTTTAAAGAGATTGTATATGGAAATAGTTGAGAAATATCATGGTCTAGAATTTAAAATACTTTAAAAACAAATTAAGCAAATTTAGCGAAATATCATTCAACCTACATGTTAGATATTGTTTGAAAATGTTCATAAAACATGTAAAAAAATTCACATATTGTACATATAGTTATAATGTGTCCATATAACCTTTAAGGTCTGCTTATTTCTATTGCAGCAATGAGACTTAGACTCAGGAAGCCACTTTCCCCTTTAAGTTAATGTCCTGATTCATTGAACTTGTGGAGATGCAAGGTATGTAATCTGGTCTTTCCGAGCTAGCAGGCACATCTCCCACCTTTCAAACTCTGGCAGCCCCCCAAGGACACTTCACCCTCTGCGGCTGCTCCAAAGCCCTTTAATCCCTTGGGGGAGCTTCCCCTCCCCACCCCAGTTGCCAGAAACTTTAGAGCCTTCTCTAGCTGCCACAACTCAAGCTTGCAGGGACATGGAGCCATGACTCTTTAGTTTCTGCTCCAGAAATTTAAACTTAGATTTAAATCAGCCCAGCTCAGGATTTATAAGAAAAATGTTCTTTTAGTAAGTATTTTTTGTTGCAATTCTGCCCATCCTACAGTGGTTGGCAGGTTTAGCAAACACTGGATTTGCTAAATTTTGGCAGGTCTGTGGGTGTAATAATCTATTGTTCTGTGGCTCAGAAAGAAGTCTGAGCTCAGCATATTGAGAAAGCTGTTCATACCAAAAGCTATTCATACTGCCTAGGTGCTTAGAAGCCGAAGTGTTTTAATTTTTCACTGATTAAGAACAGAACAGCTTTTGGAAGTTACCCAGAGCCATCCTCAAATCACTTTAAAACTCAGTCAAAGCAACAAGTTGGTGGTTACTAGAGGGGAAGTGGAGTGGCGGGGAAGACCAAGAGGGTAGAGGGTCAAATACTTGGTGATGGAAGGAGACTAGGCTTCAGGTGGTGAGCACACAATATACAGATAGATGTACTATAAAGTTGTACACCTGAAATTTATGTTATTAACCAATGTTACCCCAATAAATTTAATAACTAAAAAAATTAATAAATAAAAAAAAAGACTGAATCAAAGAAATCCTTGATCTGACTTAATCATTTATTATTTCAATGATAAGCAGCTCATGGTTTTTGTCCTCATGGGGCTTCCAAAGTTCTGTTGAGAAGTTGTAGTTACAATTTAAAAAGATATTTCCAAATCAAAATTCAGCCTCTAACCAAAGTATGGGTACTACCATTTCCAGCCTGACCCCTAGAAACTTTTTCCAGGAAAAAACAAGGGGCCTACACCTAAAGTCTGAGTTAGAGGGTTCAGGCTAGGGTACCTCAGGCCTATGGATGGCAAAGGCTTAATGCTGCCTTGTCCTATAAAATCAATGACTGATAGAGAACATGAATGAAAGCTGTCAGAGTTCTAATGAGTTACCTAGGTATTTTCCCTACTAAAAAGCGAGGAGTCGGTTTGTTAGAATAATTTTAATTGAATTATATATTATACCTATAAGTAAGACAGGTCTTTTCCTTAATTATTCCAAAAACAGTGAGGTTTTGCTTAATGCTTATTAGGTATTATTAGGTAAGAAAAAAGTTACATAGTACCATGTCTTACCTATACAAACATAAGGGACTGGTACGTTAAATATCCAAGTGTTTTCTTTATATTTGTTACATTTTCTAGCATTCTAATTACTTTTGTAATGAAGGAAAAAACATACATGTAATTAATTTATCACCTTAAAAAATACTTATAATTACAAAAGGAAAAATTAGTAGCTATACAGTGGAGAAACTGGACAATACCATAAACAAGAGATCAAAATGAACCTGACCAATAATATAGAGATGTCACATGCCTCCAGCTTGCTCTCTGAGGACACGACAGCACTTATATCATGTTCCACTGATGATACATAACCTGAGTCTATTATGATGCGCTATCAGACAAACACTAATAAGGAACCAATTGTTCTATAAAATTAGTCTGTACTTTTAAAAAAATGTTACAGTCAAGAAAGACTGAGGAACTGTTCCAGATTAAAAGGCTAAGTAAAGAGACAGGACAACTAAATGGAATGTAAGATCCTAGACTGGATCCAATAGAAAAAAAAGTCACTGCTGGCCTCTTAAGATATACACAATAAGAACAGTGGAAAAGGAGAAAAAAATAAAACTCAAAATGTTAAAAAAAAAAAATTTCCGGCTGGCATAATAGATGAAAATCATGAGACCATAGATTAAAATATTGTATCAATGTTCAATTTCCTGAATCTGATAACTGCACTGTGGTCATATAAGAAATATTACCTTATTTTTAAGAAATATACACTGAATTATTAAGGGGATAAAGGGACATTAAGTACACTATCTATTCTTAAATACAGGCAGACCCCAGAGATATTACAGGTTTGGTTCCAGACCACTGTAATAAAGCGAGTATCACAATAAAATAAGCTGGAGGGGAGGCTCTTACCTTCAATTTGTGAAAAACACAACAATTGTGAAGCACAATAAAACAAAGCACAATAAAACGAGGTGTGCCTATAGTTCAGTACACGGCAAAATGTTAAAAATTGGTGAATCCAGGTTAAGAGTATATAAGAGTTCCTTAGAGTTGTTTGTACTGTTCCTACAACTTTTCTGTATGAAATTATTTCAAAATAGTTTTAAAAAGTAATCAAATGAACAAAAACTACCTCCCCACTATAAAATCAACACACATATACTTTCTTCCTAAATTATGATGTTTTAATAGACTTTTTAGAAATAAGATGAATCTTAGCTCCTCAGGCGCAGTGTTTTTATTTACAGGAAATAACATGCACACAAACTCTAAAAAGTATGAGGCTGCAAACTACACTGCAAGTTCACATTTCAATTTATCCTTGAGCAGGTATGTAATTTTTAAATTTCCTCTAAGTTAGAAAGTCCTTGTTTCTGAAATAAGTTTTTATATAAAGTCAAATCCTTGTGATTTAAGGACGGTTTTACAGTCTTAAGTGACTTTAGAAAGTGCTCTTGTTTCACTGTGGTTGCTTCCAGTCCATTTTCTTGCAGAGCCAACAACGCTGCCTATGAGACACAAAAAAATAGGAAATAATTAATTGCTTAATTTTTGTTTATAATATATGGTAATACTTTAAAGCCTGGATACAAAAATCTTGACCTCACTTCACAGAATTCCAATATTCGTGATACTAAAAACATTAAGCTAGAAAGTTAAAGTGTTTAAAGATGGTCTTAGTAGACCATCTTTTCTTCTACATTAAACTCTAGCCTTAAATGGGAAAAAAGAAAAAGCAATTTGCAGAATACTATATACATTATGAGCCCATATATGTATTTTCAAGATGAGAGACTATCTTCCCAACCTCAAAGTAGGAGTTTCTAAACAGGACACAGCGATGATCATAGAGGAACAGATCAAACACACGCTCTATAAAATTCTGCGTAGGTATATACATACACAAAATAGACATACATACGAGGTCTGAAAATTAAATCCGTGAACTTATTGCAATGATGTTGCTAACCTTGTTTGATATCAAAGGGATTATTCATTATGAATTTGTACCAACTTGACAGTTAACCAAGTTTACTATTTGGAAATGATGAAAAGGCTGTGTGAAAAAGACGACCTGAACTTGTCACCAACAATTCATAGCTCTTGCATCAAGACAATGCACCAGCTCACACAGCACTGTCTGTGAGGGGGTTTTTAGCCAGTAAACAAATAACTGTATTGGAACACTCTCCCTACTCACCTGATCTGGCCCCCGATGACATCTTTCTTTACCCAAAGATAAAGAAATATTGAAAGGAAGATATTTTTATGACATTCAGGACATCAAGGGTAATTAATGCGATGACAGCTCTGATGGCCATTCCAGAAAAAGAGTTCCAAAATGGCTTTGAAGGGTGGACTAGGCGCTGGCATCGGTGCATAGCTTCCCAAGGGGAGTACTTCAAAGGTGACCGTAGTGATATTCAGCAATGAGGTATGTAGCACTTTTTCTAGGATGAGTTCACGAACTTAATTGTGCGAGCTTTGTACAAGGTTTTTCATAGTAGCATAATTCGTAATAACAAAAAAGTAGTAACCCAAATGTTCAGGGGAGTGGCTCCCTTTGGGAGAGTGGGAAGGACCAAGGGAAGTTTCCGGGATGTTGAACATTCTTTTTTGACCCAGGTGGTGGTTATACAAGTGTGTTCAATTTAATGTTAATTCAATAAGCTGTGTCCTTATGATCTATGCATTTTTCTGAATGTTTTATTTTTTAAAAGTTTATAGAAAATGGAAAAACCTACAATGGCTTCTTTGCCCTCAAAATAAAGTCTAAATTCCTTAAAGTGGCTTAAGGACTTGTGTGATCGGGCCACTGTCCACCTCTTCAATGATGTCATGTCATTTCTTATCTCCAATTATCTACAGATCTTATTCCTTCTGCCTCAAACACTCCCCTTCCCCCCTTGGCCTAGCTAACTCCCTCATCACCCTCCCAATTTCAGTTTACACACAGCCTCTCTTAGAAAGCCTTCTGCAATGCCCAAGTCTGGGTTGGTGTTCTTCCTAGGTGCTTCCACAGCACTCTAAAGTTCCCCAAATCACTGCATATTTTCAATTGCCAATTCAGGATTATGATTTGCTTCTCTGCACAACCCCATCAACCTGTAAGCTCTCCAAAGGAAGGGGCCACATCTGTCTGTTTCACTTTACATGGTGCCTGCCACACAGATGTCTTTCAGTGAATACCACCAAGTGAATAAAGGTCTCAATAAATGAAGAAATGTTTTGAACCATAGATTTCTTCACTAATTAACTTACTTCTTTGCAGAGGTTTCCAAGATCAGCACCAGAGAAAAAACAGGTTTCTGCTGCTAGCTTTTCTAAAGAAACATCAGGCCCCACTGGCATATTTTTTGTACAGACTTTTAAAATAGAAAGCCTGCCCTGGAACAAAATAAAAAATGTTTATAATCTCATAACATTTATGTTTAACACAATGCTATATTAAAACATTTCAAGTTAAGAGTTTCCTATCATATTACAGAGAAAGTATATTTAAGACTCAAACAATAAAAATCACTTCTGAAGAGGTTAACAAGGATTAACTAATCAATGGCTCATATGACAATGGTAAAAATAACATCGTGATAAAATTTTAATATTTTTATAGTTAATTTTTAAAATAGCCAACCACAGATATATCTCTTTAACAGACACGATGAATCTCTCTTTTGGGTAGAAGCAGTACCATCGGACATTTTTAAAATTAAATACATGAGCTATCAGACACAATTGAAAAATATGATACACATTAAATATATTTTTGTTTTTCCTTCAAAGCTTGATAAAAGCCCAAGGAAGGAAAAAATTCATTCTGATTTTCACTACTTCTTGCCAGTGGCTCTTGATGTTAAGGGCAAAGAATTCACTGATTCTTTACCTGTGGATACACTGTATAATCTCTATAATCTCATATTTCTCCACTGTAAATCAGGATGCTGACGGAGATAATCTCTAAAACTCTTTAACCCCTTTTAATACTTTAGGATTCCTCCATTCTAGTTGCAAAATAATGTTGAGTAGACTCAACTCAGTAAACTCACTGAAATAACTACCTTCCTTTTAGGCTTATGTTCTCTGAAAACAGGGCCAGGATACCCAGCAAAAGCAGACCAAAATGATTTATGAAGAAGCACCAGGTAAGGGAAGAATGCAGAACCCCGTGTACGACACACACCATGTTCACTCACAGCCAGTTTGGGATTCAGTTTTGCCGGGCTCCTTAGAGCTCAGACACTGATGTTATTACAAACGTTCACACAGAGTAAATGTGTACATTGATTACCTTTTCATCTGGAGGTGGAATATAAATAAGCTTATCTAATCTTCCAGGCCGTAACAAGGCATCATCTAACACATCAGGTCTATTTGTTGCCGCCACAATGATGACATTTCGATTAAAAATTTCTTGAAACTCTAACTGAGGGAAAACACACAACACAAAGTAATATCAATGAATTGTTCATTATTAAATATTTTTAAATTAAAAATCATAAGGTCCATTTGTTTTTAAATAGGGATATCTTTTTTCTTAGGACTGGAATGCTATCCAGACTACCTTCTCAATATCAAGATACTCCAGAAACAAATCATTAATCAAAGAGCTACTTTGTGCACCTGGTGAAGGGTGTAACCAATCGCGAGGGACATCTCTCCATGTGAGAAATGATGAAAAACCTTAACTTCACAGCAGAAAACATCATCTGGTACCTGAGGGCATTGAGCCCCAGGAAAAGATTACAACTTAAATAAATGACTTGAAAAGACAGAAGCATATGGCTAGCATGTGGAGATGTATGGCCATGAAAAGTCTTGGCTCTCAGGTCCTTGCAGAGGGAGATTTACTTCACTTTTTATTGAGCTGTCGGAAAAGTTGTGACGTATTTTTTCTATATTTTTTGTTGCAAAAATGAGTCATGACTTTTCCGACAACCCTATATTTATTTATCCTGAGGCAGAAATATGACAATAAACATAAGTTACAGGTATGTAAATCCTAGATGCAAAGAATATCTAAAGGCAACCAGGACAAGGCCTTACACTAAGCATGCAAAATTGTTTGTTGAATTCAACAATCAGAGTAGTTCTCCAGTAATGTGATCTCTCAAAGCAGTGAGTTCCCTGTATCTGCAAGTATTTTGGCAGAGGCTGGGTAAGCACCTCTCAGATGCTGTAGAAGGAACTTCTGCATTATGAGGAGATTTGATTAGAGAACTTATGGGTCCGTCCCTTTGAATTCTAGTGGCATATGTTCCTAAGGAACTGTAAGAGTCTCCTTCCATGGAACAATTTTAAAATTAGGAAATAACTAATAACAAGAAAGAAATTTTTTAAAAAATTATCTGTCAGGGATTACTTAAGGATACCAAAATCTATCTGAAGACTCAGAAAAGAGGAAGCGGACTTCCAAAGTCATTTTAACTTCATCATAATAACCAAGGAAACCCATTCCTCAAGGAAACTGGAAGTTTTCAGTTACCAAGATTACTGGAAATAATAATGTTTTATTCAACGTGAAAAATTTTAGAGAGGGATGAAAACTAGTTTTTCATGATATAGAAATTAAAAAGTCCCTTCTCCATTAGCAATATGTAAAGTTATATTTCTAAATCTTAGGATAAATAAAATTCACATTCACATATTAGATATTAGAAAATTTACCTCTTCTTTCCCAGCTAAATCACAATTTTACCAGCTCTGTAAAAATCCTAATAGTCAAATTGAAATTAATATAATTCTTTCTATAAGATGAATCCAGCACAGGAAAAGCTAATGTAGATGCATTCTATTTCATGTTGGCCTGGATTTTTGGTGTATTCTGGCTAATAAATACCTCTTCATTTTTTTTCAGCTCCTTGTATTTACCCTGTTGATCTGATTTACTTCCTCTTCTCTCTATAGTCTTCAGTCCAACACCATCTAATTCATTCAGGAGAACAGAAAGAACACGCTCTTGAACATTACATCCTGTTTTGCTGATTGACCGTGAGCCCAAGATTGAATCAATTTCATCCAAAAACACAATTGCTGGAGTATTTGCTCTTGCTTGTCGAAAGACCTTTTGTTAGGAAAATAAAAATATTAAAAAGCTATATATTATGCCTTACTCATGTGTGAATGCATGTTTTCCACCTTACTATTTATAATTTTTAAAATGTAAAACAGAAAGATGTCTAAATGTCTAAGAATTGAGGAAATGAATACAACAAGGAACAATGGAGTATTATTATGTAGGGGTTAAAAATCGTATTTTCAAAGAATATTTAATATGATAGAATTTTTAAAGTGATGTTAAGTTAAAAAAAATCATGATAAAGATATATCTCCTGCCCAAGAAAACAGATACAAAAATTCACTAAAATGTTAACCTGCACCAAAATGTTAATATAGGGTAGAGGGATTATGCAGGATTTCTTATTTACATTTTTTATATTGTCTAAATTTTCTATAAACAAATATGTATAACTTTCTAATAAGAAAAAAAGCCAGTTACATTTTTAAAAATAAATTTATCCTTAAGGCATGAAAAGAAAATTCAAAGTATACTTAACTACACGGGGGAAAAATAAACAGACAAACCTGAGACAAGACTTTTTCTGAATCTCCAACAAAAGGTGAAAAGAGATCAGCTCCATTCACTGAAACAAAAGAGCAATGACAGCTTGTGGCCAGGGCCCTAACCAGGGTGGTTTTAGCACATCCAGGAGGACCATACAGGAGGACTCCCTTTGGTTGTGTCAGGCCCATCCTAACAAATTCCCGTGGGAATTTCAGAGGCCATTCAATGCTCTGTAAGTACACAAAAAGAGACAACTGTTTTAGTACAATAAAACATTAAATAATTCAGTAAGTTCATTTGTTCCTTAAACAATTCTCAGGTACCTGTTATAAGCTGGATACGCAGTGCATTCTCCACACAGCAGCAGCGATCTTATACCCTAAGTCAGGTCACATCACTTCCTGCTTAAAATCCTTCAATTACTTCCCATCAGAATTAGAATAAATTCCAAGCCAAAACCCGTATTTACCACTGCTTACAAGGCCTTGCATAACCTGACTATTGCCCAAATACCCATCATTCCCATCTCAGGGCCTTCACCTGCTCTTCTCTCTGCCTGAACACTCCCTCAAGATCTTCGTGTGGCTCCCCTCATCATCTGGGTCTCAGCTCAAATGTCATTTCCTTATAGAGGCCTTCCCTACCGACTCTAGTTAAAGCAGACCCTCCTCCTCTTAGTCACTCTACGTTCCTGCCCATCTTTTTTATTCTTGGAGCACTTATCCATTCGCTATCTGAAATTATTCTTTTTCCATGTTGGGTTTGTCATTCTGCTCCTGCCGGAATGTAAGCAAAGTTCACCTCTAAATCCCCAGCACCTAGAATGACACCTTCACAAAGTAGGCACTCAAAAAAAATTAACTGAATAGTAAATAAATCTCCACTATCCCCGAGGTAGTTTTATTATTATCATGATTTTGCACATGTTGAAACTCAGGCTTGGAAAAGTTAAGTAACTTCCCCAAGTCTTATTCCCGTGAGGAAGCAGAACTAAGACTGACCCCAAGGCAGTGGAGATCAAGAGCACAAGTTCTTAACGATTGATATACTGTCACGCTACAAAAAAGGGGTAAGACAAGACCTCTGTACTTAGGGAACTCATATTTTAGTTGGGGACACAGGCTTGTAAACTAACAACCAGGCCAGAAAAGGGCATTCCACAGACAGGGAACAATACACACAGAGACACAGGAAACTGTCTAATTCATCCAGCTAACAGTAAGGAAGAACAGAGGGGAGGGGGAGGGAAGCAAGAAGCAATGGACTTGAAGTGGAGGGAGGAGTCAGATCACAATGGGCCTTGAAAGTTTTTGGCAACATTGAAGAAGCAGTATGGACAACGGACTAGAAAGAAATAGAACCGGAGGCAGGGAGACCAGTTAGGAGTCTCTTGCAATGATTGAGACTGCAAAAGTAATAAGGCTGGATGAGTCACAGGCGGTGGTGATGATGTGGAATGGAGGGATCTGAAACATAAAATGTAACTATTTTACACAGGAACTAAGTTCTAAATCCACAGGGGACATTAACATGTACAAATAACATGACCCCATGAATTTAGAGGATAGGTTTCTGACTCAGGGTATGGGGGCTGGCTGCATTGACTGAGGTAGGGAATCCAGGTGCGGGGTGGAACTGATTAGCTGAACGTTGGACAAGCTGTCTGAGATCCCTGGAAGTAGTCCAGTAGGCAGGCAGCTAGGTAGTTCTGATGATCCTAAGAGCTATCTGAGTGGGATATAAAGACTTTGAGTGCACAGGTTGCAGGGGACAGGTGAAGCCCTGGACATCGAATCATGGACTCACTCACAGAATGCAAAAAGAGGATGCCCAGGGGCTTGGAGCACTAACATTTCAGTTACAGGAGAGGAGTGTTCAGAAAGGCAGGAAAGCTTAACATCTCGAAGTTAAAGTGTTTCCAACAGGAAGGCGTGGCTAACCTCTCACGAATTTCGTGAAGATTAAATGAGACAATGCATGTAGAAAATTAGGGCATATTACCAATGTGCTTATCCATGGACACCGGGAGGCCGGGGTTCACTGTACATATAGCTCCTAGTTAAGATGAATAAATTATAATGGATACTCATAAATCAGTCTCTAACCACGGTTAGAGAAACCTAGTTCCTTATGGCAGGATCACCCAAAGGTAAACTGGCAAAATCATTTTCTGAAACTGCAGTGTAGGCAAGAGGATCTGGAGAGCTGTGTCCCCCAACATCCACTGTGAGAACTAGTATCAAGTAGTCATCCCGGCCATAGCAACTATTTATTATGAAGTTGTGCTTCTACCAGTCCCAATGCAAGCAAAGGCCCACCACCTGAACTTGTATAGCCCATGAACTAAGAATCATTTTTACATTTTTCAATGCTCAAAAAAAAGTCAAAAGAATATTTTATGACGTGCAAATTATATGACTTCAGTGTCCATCAAGTTTCAAAAGAACACAGGTCCTTGTTCCACATTGTCTGAGGCTGCTTTCATGCTACAACGGCAGAGGTAAGTGGCTGTAAGAGAGACTATTGTGGCCCACAAAGCCTGAAATATTTACTATCTGGCCCTTTACAGAAGTTTGCTGACCCTTGTTTTACATTATAAACTCTCTAAAGCAAAAAAGACAAATAAAAAGGGTGAGGTAGGAAAGTATGAAAAATAGTACCTGATGTCTATAGAAGTCCAATTAAATAAGGAGTGAAAAGCAATCACTGGATTTAGATGTTAGTATCGAATTAGTGATGGCAGCAAGGGCAGTTGTGGCGAAGCTTGTTTTCATAAATGCATTACACTTGAATGGCTTAAGTAGATTCTCCATCTCACCTGCCTTAACTTCAGTTTTACATCTTCGAGGCCACCAATCTGCTCCCAGCCAACAGGCTTGATGTCCATCAGTCCAATGACACTTCGAAAGGATGAAGGTTGAATCTTTTTAAAAGCTTCAAGGAAGTCTGTTTCATCAATCATTGGATTGTCCTGGTTCTAAAGAAATACACCCAAAAAATAAAAAACAAACCAAAAATGAGGTGGGGCTTTTTTGTGATACATAAGCACAATTTAAAAATCCTCTTTTGAATTTGTAAATCTAGTTTATTATAAAGAAATTTATACACATGGTACAAAAAAATTAAATCTCTCCTCCAACCCTAACATTCATCCCCAGAGGATGTCAACAGTTTCCTGAGTATTCATTCTCCCAGTACGTTTTATAATGTTTTATAAGCATATGTGTATCCTTTCAAACAGATACACAAATGGGAGCATACTATACATATTAATTTGTACTTTTTTCCCCACTTATCTTAGAAATCTTTTCGTGTCAACTAACATAGCTCTACTTCACTCTTTTTGACAACTGCATAACACACCACTCTATGAGTGTACCATATTTAACTACATCCTATAGAACATTAGGTTGTTTCCAGGTTTTTGTTTTTAAAAACAAAGCTGAAACAACTGAAAGTGCTTGTGCACATGTCAAGTATTTTACATAATAGTTTCCTCAAAGCAGAATTACAGGGTATAAGAGTAGAGTATGCACATTTACAGTTGTGACAGCTATTACCAAAATATCCTAAAATCTGAACCAAGAATATAAAGCTGCTGTTCTCCCCACATCTCTCCGGCATTGGACATTACCAAACTTTTAAACTTCTGCCACTGTGACCGAGGAAATGGTGCTCACTATTGTGTTAATAAAATGTCTTCAATCAAGAGTGACGTAGAGGGAACAATGGAATTAGAAAATCACCTTTTTTGCATCCATCACAATAAAGCTGTTCTGAGCAAGAATCCTCAATGAACACTAATCTACGGGAGGGAAAGTTTGACAAGGAAAAGGATATCTGCACGATCTCAAGGACTCTCCTCATAGACTTACTAGTTGCAAAGGGAAAAATAGCACCTATGCAGTGGAGAAACTAGATAAAACCTTGACTGGCTGATCTCATCAGTCACCAATTAGGGGCATCACCACTGAGCAACAGTGGACATCTTATGCCACCACATGTGGGACCCTAAGAAGGACACACTATCACTTATGTAGTATTCCCAACAGGCATGCTTAACCTGAATCTGTGAAGAAACAGACAAACCCAAATTGAGAGGCATTCTATAAAATACTGACCTACATCTTTAAAAAACAATGTCAAATGTCTGACACCCCACCACGCCCCAGAAAAGGCCACAGAAGTGTTCAAGATTAAATGAAACTAAAAGCTAAGTGTAATACATCATCCTGGACTAGATCCTGTACTGGAGGGGAAAAAAATGCTAAAAAGCTTAGACTATTACCAAAATCAGAATACGGGCTGTCATACTGACAATATTTTCTATCAGTGTCAAATTTCCTGAATATGATTATACGTAATCATATTGTGGTCATGTATGAGAACATCCTTATTCTTAGGAAATAGACATTAAAACATTAAGGGATAATGGGTTATGATGTATGCAACCTATCCTCAAATGACTCAGAGAAAATAATGTGTATATATACATATATACATACATAGAGTGAGAGAAGTGATAAACTAATTAGGCAAAATATTAAAAATTGGTGAATCTGGATAAAAGACTTAGTAGGAATTCTCTATCTTGCAACTCTTCCTGAAGTTTTAGTTATTTCAAAATAGAAAGTTTAAAAAAAGAACTGAAAGGGCCAGCCGAGTGGCGCATTAAGAGCTGGCTTGGGATGTCAGCTCTGAGCAGCAGGGCCCCGGTTCGGATCCCATATGAGGGCCAGTGACACTGCCCTCTACAGCTAAAATGGTGAACAATAGCTCGGCCTGGAGCTGCGCTGCCGTGAGTCTGCCAGCGTCGGCATAGGCTGCAGGCCCTGCTGCAGTGGGCTGCCGTGAGCTACTGTGTGTGGCCGGCAGCCAGCGTGAGCAGCCAGCAGCTGATGTGAGCTGCCAACAGCCGCCGCGAGCAGCTGTCCAGAGGCCGGCGACCTATCTGCCTCACCCGGGAAGAGAGCAATGATAATACCCACATGGGCCAGTGAAGTGACGTCCTCCACAACTAGACTGAAGAACAAAAGGATAGCAACTTGTCTGTTCTCCTTCCCCCGATTCCCTAGTGCTGTTCCCCTCCCTCAATCCCCCAATAAAATCTTTAAAAAAAAACAAAAAGCTGAAAGAGACTAATCTTTAAAGACAGTAAAGGTGAGAATGTTTTATGTCTATTGGCTGTAATCCTTTTATTGCCAAATACCTTACTACTTCTTATTACTATTTATTATTACTATTAAGGTATTACTGTTCATACCTTACTATCCATTTTCTCTTGTATTGTTGGTCTTTTCTTATTGATATGTGAGAGTTCTTGCCATATAAAGGTAATTGGTCTTTTTGTCATGGGCTAAAAGTATTTTTCCCAGTCTGTCTCATGTCTTGTCTTTGCTCATAGTTATTGTATTGCCATTCCAAAATGGTCAAATTAGTAAATAATTTCCTTTTTGGATATTAGGTTTCATGACATGCTAAAAAAGGCGGTCTTCACACTAAGATTACATTTTGGACAATCCTTCTTGCAATTTCCTTAATCATTGTAGTGAAGCAGGTTTTTTGTTACAGTTAAAAACTTATATTTGTTTGTAATATCTGTGTTATTTTTAAATATTTGACCTCTTATATCAAATTCTGAACATTTAGTTGTCCCAAAATTCCTATTTTCAGTAACAAACTATTTTGTCCCATTTATGTAAGATTATATAACTGAATATGTATATAGAGAGCTATTCTGAACAGCATTAGTAAAAAATATTATAATTATAATCTCTAGGAGATGAGATTTCAGGCAATTTTTACTTTTTTTTCATTTTTTATCTTGTCTAATTTCTCACAAAGCACACTATTATTTTTTTTAAATAGCTTTTTTTTTTCTTTATTTTTTTTACTAGCTAACAGATGTTGGGTACCTGAATAGTAATTATTTTTTAGGTAACACCCACTAACATTTGAAAATCCCATTTATACTTCAAGATCACTGTGTGTACATTATTTCACTTGATTCTCATAATCCTCTCAGGCAGATAAAATTCTTTCCCCTCTGTGTGTATATGTGTATGAGTTAAACTACACTTCTCATCCTTTAACAGGAATATTTCACAAAAAGATGAACAAACTTTAATGTGTCCTTCTCTGCCCTGGCACAGATAGAGGCAGCAGCAGCCCCTCAGCTGCCTAGAGGGGGAAAGAAGAAAAAGATGGAGACAGTACCTCTCCAGATGCCTCTGTCCCTTCTTCCTTTTTGCCTTTCTTCCACTTCCTTCCCCTGGTTGTTTGTGAACTCAGCCATCGCCTGTGGTAACTATGCCTGGGCAGGCCCCTCCTCAAGTAGCAGTGGGCTCCACCCTAGGGTGACAGCAGCTGGCTGGTCCACCTAAGCCAAAGTGCTTAAGGTCAAACCTGGAACTTCAAAGCAGAGGGAATCCTAAATGTAAATCTCCTTTCCCATTCCCTGGTACTCTCTTCACCCCCTCAAACGGCATATATTCTCATACCTTTACACATGGGACTTATCATTAAATCTTCAAGCAGTTTTGGTTCTAAACCCAGATGAGAACTTAATAAGTTCATGTAACTCCTTCCCCATCTTCAGTGAAAGAGTAAAAATAAAAGGAAATGAGGAAGAATACAAATTACTTAGGTATAAATGTTTTCAAAATTTCGAATGTCATCCTTTTATAGCTTAAACAAACTCAAAACTGGCTTTTAAAAATTATAAGATCAAAGGACAATTTTAATGTTACAACAGAGATTAAAAACTTTGTCCCAGAATCCTCAGCATGTTGAAATTAATTATTTTCAGGAAGGGTTTAGGAATTCAGGATTACTTATTACATACAAAGTGAACAGATTTTCCAATCCATAGTATTTAAAACTATTATATTTAAGTTAATATCCTACATATTTTTAAGAAAGGTAGTCATGAATTAAAGATTTGAATGTCAAAGCCAAATTTAAATAAAATTCCAGGCGCCCAACCTTTTCCTGAGTTAGAAAAAGTTATTTTCCCCTACAAGATACTTATTAATAACAAAGTGAAATAGTACCTTGACAATGGCGAAATCTCAGAGATACCACCTTATCTAAGAAATCAAAGTTAACTTCACCAGTATAGAACAAAGAGATATCATTTGCTACCTAATAAATGCAATAAGAAGAACACAGTATTATTTCTGTGATATGCCTACAAAAAAAAAATGCAAAACCTGAATCAAATTATGAGGAAACATTAGTCAAACCCAAACTGAGGATTATTCTACAGAATAACTGACCTGTACTCTTAAAAAGTTAGTCATAAAAAAAGACTGAATAATAGTTCTAGATTAAAGAAGATTAAAAAATCATGACAGGGCCAGCCGAGTGGCCCGATGGTTAAGAGCTGGCTTGGGACGCAAGCCGGTCCCAGTTCGGATGCCACATATGAGGGCCAGTGACACTGCCCTCTACAGCTAAGATGCTGAACAACAGCTCAACCTGGAGCTGAGCTCCATGAGTCGCCAGCGACGGTGTAGGCTGCAGTCCTCTGTTGCAGTGGGTTGCTATGGGCTACCGTGTGTAGCCAGCAGCCAGCGTGAGCGGCTGTCTAAAAGCCGGCGACTGATCTGCCTCGCCCAGGAAGAGCGCAATGATGGTGCCAACTTGGGCCAGTGAAGCAACGTCCTCCACAACTAGACTGAAGAACAAAAGGACAGCAACTTGTCTGTTCCACTTCCCCCAATTCCCCAGAGCTGTTCTCATCCCCCAATTCCCCACTTTAAAAAAAAAAAAAAAGAAATCATGACAACTAAATGCAGTGTGTAATCCTGGATTAAAAATAATTTTTTTCCTTTTTAAATTTTTGCACTAAAGGAAATTAGTGGGATGAATGGTGAAATTTTGATAGGTCTACATCGATTAGGTAAAAGTATCATGTCAGTGTTAATTTTCTCATCTTGATAATTGTACTGTGGTTAAAGTCCTTGTTTTTAGGAAATATACACTTAAGTTTCAAGACTAAAGGGGGATCATGGCTGCAGATCCAAAAATATATGTAAAAAGCAGCTGTGAAAGGTATGTGAAGTTCCAAGAAAATGTACTTACACTTTTTTTAATCCCCGAAATTAATTTGTTACATTAACAAAATTAACGTCCATGGTCATAAATCAATGTTTCCTACCTTCTCACTAAGAAGCAGAGCATGCATGGCAGCCTCCCTACAGAGTGCGGTCAGATCTGCGCCAACGTAGCCAACTGTCATTTCTGCAAGGAGGCCAAAATCAACTTGACTGGAGATGGGCATCTTTGAGGTAATCACTTGTAGAATCTCCTTTCTCTGTTTAAGTGTGGGCGTCCCAATGACAACCTATATACAGAGAGAAAAAAAAAAGAAAAATTAAAGTTTACAGTTTAAAATACTTTTTATCCTCACAAAAGTGTATAATAATTTAGTGAGCATATTTGGAACTATTTACTATGTACTCTTAAGCATAACTTAGATTCTAAATATATGAAAATCCTAATTTTCCAGAAGAGTAACAATGGTTAAAAAGTTGCACAAGGAAAATTACACATAATTTAACATATTTCTCTATTTTCATGATACTGTACCAAGTCCTAGGAGTCAAGGATACAACAGTAAACCAGATAATCTGGGACCGGGTTCTCACCCAGCTTATCCAGGAGAGTGGTACTAGATGGTGCCAGGCAGAAAGTCACTCAAATTCAGAACAGATTAAGCTAAGTGTGCAATTATCATCTGTCCGTTTAGAATCTTACCACAAAGTCCAAACATCACTTAAAGTAACAGTGGTTAAACTATTTGACAGAAATCAATTTAGGACTGAAGCTTATAAAATAGGACAGCTTTTAATACTCAACCTTCCTGGCAACTCAGGGAGCCATTGTGGGTCCTTTCTCAGCTGTGGGACAGGATGCTGGCATCCTGACAAGGAATGAATAAATCCAGATAAATTAACGGCTGCTCTGATTTACTTCTTCCCTGCCTTCACCCTTATTTTAATACACTTATATCTCTAGGTTATCTTTCCACTTTAAATTCTCATTCCAAATTCATACGAGTTTAACACGCTTGTAGCAGACTTAGTTCCCTTAAAAATTAACATTACTGATTATACTACTCATCTTCAGGACCTGCACAACAAAACTAATCCCTAATGGCCACCTTGCTTCTCAGAACAATTTGAGGAAAAACAGGTCCTGGCTCACAGATCACACATGGACAGAGAAAGTGTTCTCTGCATTACAAAGAGCCCCACTCCAGCCTCGCGGGATTCCAAACCTAAGTGGCAAACGCCTCGGGGGAAGCCGCCCAGGGCCCTAAGAGGCCGAGGTTCCAGGGGCAACGGGCTAACTGGCCAGGCCTGTTTACCTCTCGGTCAAATCTCCCAGGTCTGCGCAGCGCTGGGTCTAGCGCCTCCGGCCGGTTGGTGGATCCCACAACCACCACCTCGCGATCCCCACTGATGCCGTCTAGCAGCGTCAACACCTGGGCCACCACGCGGCTCTCGGGGGCTTGGTGTGGGCCGCCCCGCCGGGGACACAGGGCATCCACCTCGTCCAGGAAGAGGAGAGTGGGCTTACGGCTAGCAAGCTCCCGGGCGCGCTGGAAGACCCGCCGCACGTTCTCCTCGGTCTCCCCCGGCCGGCTGCCCTGCAGCGAGGGGGCGCTCACGGCCAGCAGCTCCGCGCCCGCCTCCCGGACCACCGCCCGCACTAGCTGGGTCTTGCCCACTCCGGGAGGGCCCGCCAGGAGCACCCCGCGGGGCACTGCTAGCCCCAGCGCGGCCAAGGCGCGGGGGTAGCGGAGTGGCAGGCAGAGGAGCTCCCTCAGCGAGTCCGCCGCCTCCGAAAGGCCCCCCAAGGGCACCTCGGGCTGCGGCTGCGCTTCCGACGGAGACACCGCGCTGAGACCGATGCTGGTGTGAGGCGTGACCAGCCCGGCCGGATCCAGGCTGGGCACCCCGTTGACGATGTGCAGGGCGGCCACCGGGCCGGGGGCTTCCGGCGGGGCGACCACCACGTGGCCCCGGGAGACCGGTCGGTTCCTCAGCAGCTCCTGCGCAGCCTCCAGCACCACGGCTGGATTCGGGGCACCGGGCGCGCCCGCTGGCTCCCGCAGCTCCGGCCACACAGTGAGGCGCCGAAGGGGCGGGCAGGGCACCAGACGGAGGCTGCTCAGGCTGAGAGTCCCCCTGGACCCCGGCGCCCCCACCGCCGACCCTGGGCTCGCGCACTGCGGGTCCAGTTGCAGAAAGCCGTCCGCTCCATCCCGCCGCGGCCAGGCGATGCAGAGACAGGAGCCACCCTCAGGCAGCGAGATCTTCACCGCCGAGCCCAAGTGCGCGCCCAAGGCATGGAAGGCTGCTGGGCCCAGGCGACAGCGCTGGGTGCCCCGGTCCCTAGCGTCTAAGGGTAGGAGCTTTAAGAGCGGCCCTTCGGGAAAGGGAATTGAGCCCGGAGTCATGGCACATGGAGACACCGAGGCCGAGGAAAACGGGATAGGAATTCCACCCGAGCCGGAAAGGCGGGTACACCTAGCGCCTCCGCCGGAAGCAGGTGACGCGCATGCGCCAGGAAAGACAGTTACGAGCCTTTGAATGGAGGCTGAAAGGGCCAATCGGGAAGTTAAACGATGCTCCCGCCCTGAGGTCTAGTTTGCTGTGGCGTGGGGTTTGATGAAATCCACTCGCTGACTTCAGAGCTTTACGGACAAAGCCTTCGTTAAGGGTGTCTGGAAGGCAACATAAGCCAACTTCACTAGGTCTGATGACCTTGGTGGTTTGGAGAGTCACCGGCATAACATATACTCTTTTCCAGGCTGACTGGAGCATCGCCACCTGCGCTTTTGGAATGTCAGCCTACAGACCATTTTGTGAAGAAACCTCTGATGTCCCCATGGACACAGTATTTTGGAGTGCTCTGTTGCTAATGTCTTAGGTAACTTGTAGTAGCTGAGAAATACAGCCTTGACGCCTTCGACAACCTGGGTTCCAACCTGTTCGGAAGGTCCAGGCATGCCTTCGCATAGAAAAGCGCCAGCATAGCAAGAAAGCAGCACAGGGTAGCATTTTAAATCCCCTGAAGAGGGGAAAGAAGGAAAACCAGGCCATCTTACATATTCGTGGTACACCAATACATTCTGGTCAGATTCCTGATTTACTCCTTTTAATGTTCTTTGACAACAACTTAATCATAACCTCTTCTGTTCATGTGATAAGTGCTTTTTGTCTATTTGGGGCACAGCAGTACTAAGTTCTGTATTAGAGGTGATGCCTTTCTACCTTAAACTGCCTGCTATTCTCTTTGCACCTTTCTTCTCCACTCCCCACAGGGAATTACTCTTTCTTCTGTATCAGCTGGAATACATGTCCTATCCTTTTAAATTCTCATCAAAAAGAGCTACAGATATTCAAAGTAAAACACACACACACACACACACACACACACACACACACACATATATATATATATGTGTGTATGTATGTATATTTGTTTTTATCCTTCTCACATCCTTGTACCTCTTATTTTTCCCACCTTCACTGCAACCCAAATTTATGAGATTACAAAATTGAGATTGCAGATAGAGTGCTTAAGTCAATGGGGGTTGGGGTTTTTTTCCCTACTTATGCAAATATAGTGGACCGTTGAATAACGCACACTCCCAGTCAAAAATCTGCATATAACTTTTGACTCCCCCAAAACTGAACTACCAATAGCCAACTGTTCAGGCAGGAAGACTTAACAATGACATAAACACTCAATTAACACATATTTGTATGTTGTATGTAGTATATACTGTATCTTTACAATAAAGTAAGCTAGAGAAAATAAAATGTTATTAAGAAAATAAGAAAAAATATATTTACAGTACTGTACGTTATTGAAAAAGCTCCCCATATAAGTAGACTCAGGTCTTTCAAACCCATGTTGTTCAAGGGTCAACTGGAATCAACTGCAGACTCTGTAGCAATGTCTTCTCAATGAAAAGAACTGTCAGATCTGGGGTCTATCTTCAGACTAATGCCAGTTCCTGGCCTCCCTCTACCCACACCTCAGGGCAGACACTATGACTGACTTCTGGATTCCACAGTCACTCATTTGGTCTCTGCCATCTTTCTAGCTCCAGTGCTGGAATCAGAAAATAGCATACTAAGAAGAGGTCCTGAAATAGGTAAATCACCTATTACACCCTATTTTCTTCTCTTAATCTTATTGGCTTCTCTTTGGAGAATAAAGACTCCAAACTCAGACTTTTCAAGAACAGTTTTGTATTTTCTAAAATAAAAAGCAAATATTTTTAATGACCCCTGAAGATGTGAATAAAATAACCATCAAGTTATTCTGCAATGATGCCTGTACTTCACAGAGGTTCTTTTACTCTGGTTTCAAGAAGCTTTGAGGATCCAAAAAAGGGAAAAAAGGCTTAATGAAGACATGATAACTGTCTTAAATATGTAAAAGGATGTTATATAAAAGAGTTCCTACATTTGTGTATATCTACAGTGCAGAACTGGCCAGGAAGTGAAAGTTTAATGGAGTGAACCTAAGAGTCCTCCTCCTATTTTGAGTATGGTCATGTGGAAGAGATAGGAAACTTTTTATAAGATATAGCCAAGGGGTATAACCAATGCCAACACAGGGAGGCAAATAAAGTTAAATCAAACTTAAGAGCTTTCTGCATTTGGTCTAAAACAGATGTAGAGGCTATGATATTAGGGGTATTACGTGGAGGAAACTACATGTTGCTTTGGGTTGGTCTGCAAGGTTGACTTTATACAAGGTCAAACTACAATTCTCTGACCTTGTAGGACTCATATAGCCAGGAAATATTCACTTCATCCTTTCCCTAAAAGGTACAGTTCTCACCTTAGGCTGCAAACAAAAGCAACCAGGAATCCTGTTCCTGCGCCTTCAGCTCTTATCCACACACTCTCAGCAGAACTGTAATAGGAGTGTGTGGGGTTTTTTGATTATTTGTTTTTAATATAAAAAACCAAAATTTGGTGCTTCTGTAACCTGAAGTTTACCAATTAAAGCACCAAAAGGTTGAACCACTAGAGGGAGTCCAGAACCATATAATCTGAAGGCTACAGGATTGAGTTTGAGGTGTTCTCAACTGTGGCTTCTACTAGATTTTCCCAAGATTTATATACCCAGGTGTATGAAACAGTCTGTTGTCTGTATAGTTACCTATTGGGTTATTGAAAAAGTCATGACGCATTTTTGCAACAAAAATCATAGAAAAAATATGTCATTACTTTTCTGACAACCCAATATTTTCACATAATTTTTACATGCCTCAGGCCATATAGAACTCACTTTCCAAGTTATAATGTAATTGCTGTATTAAATATCAAAATGAGACTCTCCCCAAATTCAAAATTTAGTGGTAGATCAAAATCCAAACAAACTGAATTTATCTTGCTATAGCCTAGAAATAATTATAGCTTTGAGCTGTTTGAAATAGCCTTGCTAAACCATCTTGTGAAATTTTCCTAAAGAGGTGCATTTAACAAATAGTTTTTTTTTTTAATGATCACAAAGAGGTCACATTTTTTTTATTGACAACTCAATCTCTACATACATTCATTATTGCACAAATTATAAGTGGATTGACAATTATATTAATACAAATTCATGAGGGTAAAGCTACTGCTCTAAGTTTTGGTGCATTTTGTGCCAGGCATTTTAGTAAATATGACAAAACATCAAGGAAGTCAGCTACTTCAATTCATAAGAATCAGCTTTCAGAAAAGGCTTGTATGTCATCTCATAAAACACTTATAATAATATGTGAAACCCAGGAAAATAAAAAAACTAAATGACAAAAGAAGGAATACTGTTAAAGAAAAAATGGTGATAATGTTAGGTTAAACTATTAGGTTTAAAATTTTTAGCAATTGGACTTAGCATCCAGAAAGTACATGTATATTGGGAATTTTAGGAAAAATACCCCTATGTCTGCTTCACAATTACTACTACATTCCAAACAGGCATCTCTGGGTTGCTACAATGTCTCCCCTGCTTATAAACCCTGCTTCCTAGTTCAGAAGAAACATGGTAATTCACATAAATGGGTTTTAAAATAAGATTCTTCTCACTCAAAAGTATGACCTCCATCAAATTACACAGAAATCTTATTGAAATGTCAGAGAAGCCAGACCCATTTACCTTCACTGCCTGCCTCAGAGCACCAGGCTTGGTGTGGCTCCTGCAGAGGAGAGATGTGCGCAGTCCCTGCTCTGCAGTGTGCAGGTGGAAAGGAGCCCTTCCGTTCCCCTGGGGATTTGCTTCCTCAGGTATAGAATTGAGGGGGTGGGCTAGATGGCTTGTAAGAGACCTTACAAATAAAAAGATCTAAGTCAGCTTGAGATCCCACCTTGAGCAGATGTTTAGGATGGCAAAAGAAATGGACAAAAAATGGTGGGTGAAGTATTTACCTTTTGATGCCATCACTCAGAACCACTCTGTACTACAGTTCAAGGAATCTTTGACACTTTCATCTAATGGCTGGTGCTACTAAAGGGTAGGCAAATGAGGCATCTGACAAAATTTTGGATAAGAATGTATAAAGGCCGTTCTACGTTTAGAAAGGAAAACAGTGTACCACCATGTCACATCAGCCATCACAGGACTTTCTGCCTCTGAATTTTAAGAACCATCAATCTGGCCTGGAGATGCACATTCAAGCCATTCAACAGGTATCTATGGAATACAGCACACCTATTAAAGGGTTTCACGAAATCCTCCCAGGCAGGCACCTTCCATGAAACTGGTTCTAACAGAAAGGATGCAAGAGAATTAAGTGCAGGGTAGGATTTTTTTTTTCTTTCTAGATCAGAAAAATGACCCAAAGAGAGGGATGGCCTCTCATTGATACAAATATCACTTCTTCTGGAATCTAATACACTGGCTTCATTTTCAAAATGCATCACTTTATTGTCCTCATAAGGCAGCCATGCACTATCAACCTTAAGCATGTGACTGTCATGATTTCATCAGTAAGCCCAGGGCTCCTGCAGGCTTTCTGGAGCTTACAGCCACAGTAGTCTTGAGGAGTCAAATATTAAAGCTTTCTTCACAGCCACACGTTCCTTTGATGTTTGGGTTATTGAAAACAAACTCACTGGATAGTTTGTCTTCAACATAGTCCATTTCTGTTCCTAAAAGTGTTAGCTGTGCCTTCTTTTCGATGAACACTCTGACTCCATCTTGAACAACTTCTTCATCAGAATCTCCTTTTGTTTTTGTATATTCTAGAGTATAAGAAAGGCCATTACAACCCCTGGTTTGGACACCAACTTTCACACCAACATGTTCAGGCTTATCTTTAAGAAGTTGTTTTATCTTGTTTACTGCTGAAGGTGTCAGGGTGAGGGCGGCCTGGGTGGGCTGCAGCTTCCTCTTGCTCACAGCCCGGACAGTGGCCCGGACTAACGAAGCCGACATCCTCGCCGTCCAGGCGCCCCGGTGCCTCGGGCTGGAGCTCGGCCGCCTCAGCCTCTCTTCATGGACACGGCGGGCACATTGACCAACAAATAGTTTCTTGATTTCAATTGCTACATTCAAGGTTACACTCTGTCTAGTATTAAATTAAATATAAACATTCTTAATTAACAATAAGCCTAAAATTCAAAAGAAATAGTTAGAACCTGTTTCTTTTTTAAAAATAAAGATTATACATTATTTGTGTGTCTCTAGCATCAATAACATTACATATTAAGTGTTATATTTTAGGACGTGAAACATAGCATAATTGTGAAAAACCTAAAGAAAATGGTTAACCCATAGCATGAGTCATCTATAGATCCATGAATGCTATTTCTATGTTTCCATTTTGATGTTATATTGAACCCTAGTATATTTGAACAGTAACAATGATTATAAGTTGTAATAGATAAGTATAGAGATTCATTTAACCATACTTGGAAAGGCATGTTTGCAAATGCTTTTATCTGAACATATTCATGCTGATATATCAAGTAATCTATTTCCACAGACACCTAATATGCCAAACGGATGTTCATATTTTAAAATATTTGATGAAAATCCTCTAAAATAGGACATCATTAAAATTGTTCTTTAAATTTTTCAATCTTTAGTTTTTCTCATATTGTCAAGGCTAGAATTATTCTTTACTAGATACAGAGTCAGGGAAGGGGGGAGGTGATTACAGCCATCAGAAATCTTTGCTGGGCTACAAATGACCAGCAGATTATAGTTCACAGAACACCATTCTGCAAGTTTGTTCTTGCAGATTTTCAGGAAACTTTTTGTTTCATCATTTTTCAGAAGTTAAGTCTTTAAGAGAGTTATTTCCCATGATACTGGTTCAAAGTGTTCAACTAGTAACAGTAACAATACTCATGTATTTATTAAACATTTATTGAATATCTACCTTGTGCTACATACTGTACTCAGAGGTTGAGTATAAGGTGGTAAAAAAAATGTAATTCTTTCCTTCATGAGGTTTATAGTCTAGTGAGGAAATCAGACATTAAAGGACTCAAGTGACTAAACCAGATAACTAAGATGATGAAAATTGCTATGAAGAAAAATAAACAGAAAATGGTCACTTTACATAGGGAGGCAGGAAAGGCCTCTCTGAGGAAGTGACATTTAAGCTGAAACCAGGATAAGAAGAAGCAAAGTGGGAGAATTGGGGGTGGGGAGATGGTGGGGAGCTAGTGTGTACCAGTCAGGGGGTTGGGCTGTGCCAGTGCGCTGAGGGTGGAACATGAATGCTGTGTTTAAGAAATTAAAAGAAGGCCAGCTTTGTTTTTACCATATCTTTGGCACTTACATTCTACTTTTTCTAATTATTTTACATATAGATGGATATTTTGTTACTCTATGAAGACAGTAAGTTGTCTAAGGGTGGAACTAACTTTAAAAATATGTATCTATTGGGCTGGCCGAGTGGCACGATGGTTAGGAGCTGGCTTGGGACACCAGAGGGCCCCGGTTCAGATCCCACATATGAGGGCCAGTGACGCTGCCCTCCACAGCTAAGATGCTGAACAACGGCTCGACCTGGAGCAGGGCTGCTGTGAGTCACTGGCGACGGCGTAGGCTGCAGCCCCTGTGGCAGTGGGTTGCCATGGGCTACTGTGTGTGGCCAGCAGCCAGCGTGAGCAGCCAGTAGCCACAGTGAGCGGCTGTCCAGAAGCCGGCGACTGGTCTGCCTCAACCGGGAGGGGCGCGTTGATGGTGCCAACTTGGGCCAATGAAGCAACGTCCTCCACAACTAGATTGAAGAACAAAATGACAGCAATTTGTCTGTTCCCCTTCCCCCAATTCCCCAGCACTGTTCCCATCCCCCCAAATCCCCAATAAAAAAATCTTTAAAAAAAAATGTATCTATAGTATACTTTACAGGAATCTAGTAGTGTGCTGGAATGTAGTTTGTGCTCACTAAATACTTGTTGGGTTGAATTTGATTGAAATTAGGGAATAGAGTCTAGTGCCCCATGCCATGTGACACATCAGATACTATTCAGGGCAGACCCAAGTAGACCTCAAGGGTAATCTTCAAGTAGGATGTCCCTGCTCCTGACTGAAGCCACCCTTCGGTCACTTCTATCATTTGTCTCTCCTTTTGACTTATTAAAATTTTTCAGTTAAATCAATCATTATGAGTCTGTTAAAATTCAGGATTGTCACCATAATCATTGCTGACATTCAAATACTGTATCTTAAGGTTGAATATAGCATGCAATTGAAGACCCATGTGCTGCTGACTTACCTAAACATTCATCTTCCCTTTTCTCTTCCTACCATCAGTAGGAATCCTTATCACTTTTATTGGATTACTACAACAGCCTCCTAACTAAACTCTATCCCTCCAGTCTCTCCTCACATTGCCACTATATTAATCCAGCCAAGAAACTACTGTACTTTCAATGATTGGGGGTTATATGTATCTTAATAAATCCTAGATCTTTCAAACACTCAAACCTGTCTAAGAGTGGAGACTGAGCCAGAAAGAAGTCCTTAATAAAGCACTATCCATATATTTATATATCTAGTTGTATTTTGTTTGTGTTGTTGGGCAATTATCTAATGTGACTTTGTATTATCCCTCCAATGAGATCTTTAAGCGATTTGGGAATTTGTACCACTCTTTTCTAATACGTATAATTTTTGCTCCCCACCCCCAACATTGAGCAAAATGCAAAGTACTTAATAATTAAATTTATATGCTTTCTCAAGTACTAGAGATTTGGTATGAATTTAGGAGAATGAGCTTGAAGAATCTCAGAAAATATGGTTTGAGTATTATATTTGCGATATATTCGATCTGAGAATTCTTGTCTATCATAACAAATCCTAGAGCTTTCACACTCTCAAACTTGTCTTGGAGTTAACCTAATATTATATAAGATCTGGTCTTGGAGACCAAGCCAGAAACAAGGCCAGTCTACATAAATAGGGAAGACACAATCTGAAAATGGTTTATTTGTAGTAATTTCACGGTATTTACTTCATCGAAATTTCCTCTAGTCCTTTGCTACACCCAATCCAAGAATGGAATGAAATCTTTAATTTCTATTTTCCAAGGTGCTAAGATCAGACAAAGGAGATGGAAATACCTTTGCTGCACATTATATCTCACTGATGGGCAAGATCTTGCTGGAAGAGTACAAACCCTGAGAGGAGAGAGACAGAGATCTCATGACTTTGTGGCCTCAAATTGGGAAGACCAACTCCAGAAGAAATTGATCCACTGGGTTCCAAAGTAGCAAAATTGAAGATAAAGAGAGGAAGATACACATTCTAAATTCTCTCAAGTAGATAAGGGACTCTCTTTAGAATAATCACATTGTTCACATTATCCTTGGTACTGAATATTTCATTTGTCTGTTGAAATGAAGGTCAGTGTTTCCCTCCCACATCCAAAAATGTGTGGGAGTAACCATGAATGTCTAGGCATTTTTCAAAGTTTTCTTTGTGCAACTTTTTTCTGTGTTGCTCTGCTACTCCCAGACCTTCAAACTTCTCTGACTTCCAGTAAACTCAATATGTTTCATTACCATGAAACAAACAGTGTCTGACCTGCTTTGGTGCCATTGGGATGGATTCTAGGCAAACATATTACCTCCCGACAGATATCATCGATTCTTCCTCTGGCTTTCCTCACCATGTACCCTGCACCCCTTTTAGCATATGGCTTCATTTTGCCTTAAATGAGCTAGTTGTTTTCCTATCTTACCTCTACTCCCTCCCGATTTTAAGAGTTGACAGTATGTGTTAGTCATCTTTAATCTTTCATTCTACCTTCTCCCAACAGGGGCTAGCTACTGACTTGCTGTGTGATTTAATCTGCCAAAACTTTGGAGGTTGAAATTATTATTGTTAATTTATTTCTAATTCAGATGAAGGAATTGAGGCACAGAAAGGTTAAGTAATTTCCCCAAAGTCACACAGCTTGTAAGTGGCAGGACTAGGATTCAAAACTAGGTAGTCTAGCTGACTCCAAAGTTCCCACTCTAAACCACTACACTATGCAATGCTAGAGTCACTAACTACTTAAAAATTATGTGACCTTAGGCAAAACTTAAAATTCTAAACCTAATTTTCATCATTTGTAAAATGGATAAAATTCCCACTTCATAGATTCATTTACTCAACAAATATTTATTGAGCTCCTACTGTTCGCAGTACTGCAATATCATGATGATTAAATTCACATAAAACACTTGGCATACTGCCAGGCACATAGTACATGGTCAATATTAATTATTATTTTAATTAGTAATAAGCCAATAACTTCTCTGATACATATTTCCTCTTACTCGGCTAGAGATTATGTTCTACCATTGCCATATACCCATTTTCTACTGGTCCCCTAATTCTCTTTGAAACATTTTTTTAGTAGTTCTATAAGATGTTGCCTCGTAATACAAGTATCTCTCAGAGCTAAAAAGAAAAAGTGCTTTAAATGGCTACTTTCTGATACATAGCTAAGGCATGCAAAATATGCTTACTATCAAGGAATATTGGAAGTACTTTTGAGGAATGTGAAGATATGAAGATCAAATATAATGCTTTCAGGAAATGTACAATGAAGTCATCTTGGAAAACAAAATAGCCCACATCACATCTTCAGTGACATAAAAAGCCCAGCAACACTTTTCTTAACCAGGTAGAGACAGGTGGCCTGCTGTGCCCTCCTGTGCTGTGCTTTGTTGCTCTCAGCATCCATCCTATGTTTCCCTTACCCACATTCTGTGAGAGTTGGCAGTATTTGCTAGGTTGCATAAGAGATTTTCCCTCCCTAGATGGCTGATAATCAAATGAGACGATATATCTGAAGTCACTACACACACACACACACACACACACACACACACACACACACACACACACAGTGAAAAATTTTCATAAAAGAATGTTGTAGTTGTGTCCTACAGAGAACACTCAATGTAGGAAGCAGGCGTGGAGAGTACTGTCTTCCTCATTTCTGAATTTGCTCTCAGCATCTTTTTATTTCTTAATGTGACCAAGCTTGCTTTCCTGTCCTGACTAGTTCCCCTTCTCCCATTTCAGTTCCTAATTATAATAATAACAATAGCTAACTTGTAGTGAGTGATGGTTTAAGTGCTTGACATATATCCACTTAATCATAACTGTGAGTTATATAAAAGTATTATCCCTATTACATTCAAGAAAGCTGAGAGATGGAGGGGTTAAATAATTTCACAAGGTCATACAGTTACTCAGCAGTAGAGTCAGACTTCAAACCTGGAAGTATAGCTCTAGAGCCCACGCTCTTGACTACGTGCTGTGCTATATCTCACTCCCTATATAGTGCCTGCCACCGTCTTAGATACATATTTCCCAAGCTAAAAATTTTCAGGCAGCTGTCAGCACTTTTGCTTCTTACTTTTTAAAATCACCTCTAATATTACCGGGGGTGCCCAATAAATGTATACAAGTAGACACTTTGGTCAACATTGCTCAAGCAGTAGTTCACTGTAATCAGATGCGTCTGAGGGCCGGCCTAGTGGCGCGTTGGTTAAGAGTTGGCTTGGGAGCGCCAGCTCTGTGCAACAGGGCCCCCGTTTGGATCCCACATGAGGGCCAGTGATGCTGCACGCTCTACAACTAAGATGGTGAACAACAGCTCGACCTGGAGCTGGGCTGCCGTGAGTCGCCGATGAAGGCATAGGCTGCAGCCCCTGCTGCAGTGGGCTGCCATGAGCTACCATTAGTGGCTGGCAACCACAAGAGCCGCCGAGTGCAGCCGTCCAGTGGCCGGCGACCCATCTGCCTCACCCAGGAAGAGCGTGATGATCACAATACCAGCATGGGTCAGTGAAGTGATGTCCTCCACAACTAGACTGAAGAACAAAAGGACATCAACTTGTCTGTTCCCCTTCCCTGATTCCCCAATGCTTTTCCCCTCCCCCAATTCCCCAATAGAATCTTAAAAAAAAAGAAGTGTCTGAATGTTGATGATAACCGCTTTGAGCACCTCTTGCAATTGCAGAAGTCAAACCTGACTTGTATTCATCTTTTGTTATTGGTATATATTGAGTTGGTATATATTGAGTATGACAATTTTAATACAGTTTTCCTTTCTTAAAATGTGTATAAATTTTTTTTGTATCCTCTGTACTTGTTACCCACTTATGATAAATTCAGAATCTTACCAAATGTTAATAATTCATGCTACAAACTTTGATTTTTAGTCATTATCTGGGGAAAAGGAGAACTTGACAATAACTCTGCATAATATTAACGAAAGCACTAGCTAGCTTACCACCACAAACATATCTATGTGAGAAATTAGGTAAAAATCCCAGCTATTTTTCCTCTGATGTGTACTTGATATAAGATAACATTCAAGCTGCTACTTGCTCAAGGATTAGGCACCAAGTTGGCGGAATCAGCTTTCTTAACCGCATTATAAACAAGGATAAGCAATGTTTTGAAATGTATGCAAAACATATTTCTGAGCTATCAGAATGGAGTGGCGAAAAACTAGCCCTTGAAAGAAAACTTGAGATTAACTAGTTTTTACAGTTAGGCCTGGAGAGGTTAAGTGACTTGTTCAAGTAATTGTGATTCAAGTTGTTACTGGTGGTGCAGGTCCTAGAATGCAGGTCTCCAGCTCAGCATGCATAGTGCTGTTTCCTCAGCTCTGCATTTCTTTCTAGAACCATCTCAGACAGACGGCTGTCATGCATACAATGATGTGAAAGACATTTCACCATCAAGAAACTCTTTATTAGTTACCCTTTTGAATCAAAGACACTACATTTCATTCAGGAATCACAGTTTCATTGTATATTTAAATAAGTAGATTCCATATATTTAAATAAGTAGATTTATATTAGCTTAATTAGAAAGCAGCTAAGGGTTTGGCTGCTGTGGCTTAGATCTTGAAGAACAAAGCCACCTTCTGTTTGTGAGCAAATAGTAGTAGAAACAGTCATGTAAAATGTACATTAGTGCTATCCTAAAATCCTCAAGCGTAATTTTAGGATAAGAAGCTTCAAGTTCTAGAAGTGGACCTTCTCTCCACTTCTTTACATAATCTAAAGATCATGTAAATTAATCTTTACATAAAACTAGCTTATTGTCTTTTTTATGTGGTCTTGTTGGGGAGCAGGTCATTAACAAGAACTGAGACAAAGAGCTCTCATTCCAAAGACTTTATTCCCAAGCTCGGGTGTCCGTCTCATTAAAAAAGAGAGAGCGGAACCCAAGTCCTGGCGGGTGGGGAATTTATAGCTGAAGCTGGATACAGAAGCAAAAAAAGCGGTTAGTGAGTAAAAAGAGAAAAAACTAACAAACAGAGTTAACTTATCT